TGGGGTTCCTGGCCTGGACATCTGGAGAGGATGCTGGGGTGGTCTTCTTGCTTCTCACCCACTCACACCATTGCTTGCCTCTTAGTATTCAGGACCTCCAGTCCCAAGGCCCTCCCACCGAGCCTGCCCACCCTGGCCCTGCAGAGAGGGGCATGTTGGCCCCCTGTGTATTTCTCCCATAAGCATACTTGGGTGCCCATGAATGAGGAGGGATGCATACCAAGCATGTTGCTCACATGCGGTGGTCTCAAGAAGCCTTACTTTGGAGTGGGGGCTGCCTTGTTATCTGGGATTCCTTATGCCCCAGGGTGTTCCCCCTCTGCCCCAAGCAGGACTCTCACAGCTGGCACCTGTCCCTACCTTTTCAGTAGCCCCTGGCCCAAGGACCTTACCTGTCCCAGAGGCCTGTGGGTACTGGGCTGTTAGTCTTGTGGATTCCTTGGAAGCTTCTCCCATCCCCTATTCAAGCCGGGCCCTTAGGATTTAACATAGATCCCACAGGACAGCAGTAAATCTGGCTAATAGTTTATCATTTTATTGGAGGTCTTGTATTTAGTATTCATCACAGCAGATGGGAAGGCCTGAGGTGGCTCCCCTCAGCTCTTCCTTGGACACCCTTACCACCCACCCCCAGCATCCTGACTCAGGTGACTCTCCTTCCTGTTCTCAAGGCTTGAGTGGGTTGGGTTTTTAATTTTTTTTTTTTCTGCAGCTACAAATCAGGAAACCGGGTCATAAAACAACCTTGGGTAAGTAGGTGGGATGGAACCACGGCCAGAGCAGCTGCAAGAGAACAAAAAGCTTCCTTCTCTGTCTCTCCCTTCCTCCCTTCTTCCCTCTCCCTCTGTTATTCTCTCCCTCTTTCTCTTTCTCAGTCTCTGTTTTTTCCCTCTCCATCCCCCATTTCATGTCTCCCACCACCCCCTCAGAGTCCGCTGTGGGAGCTGCAGCAGCTGTGGCCCACACTGCACCCATTTACCTGACCAGGGACTAATCCTGGGGACTGGAGAAGCTATGGGCCAAGTGACCTCTCTCTGAGGCTGTAAAGGTGACAGCAGGCAGCCATTAACCACCATTGCCCATGAGTGGACCTCCCTCAGGTGAGTCTGGCTCCCTGAGTAAAAGTGGGGGCCTGACCTTGCTGTCAGGGGACGTGAGAAGTATGAACTGCCAGCCCCCCCGTCACCTCCCCTCACAGCACCTTTTTGTTATCATGCTCCAAGATGCCCTCTAAAATGGGAATTCTTGGTGCGGGGTCCACGTAAGGGGGTGTTCACTCTTGGCCTGGTCACTCTTCCTGCTGTAGGCATCCAGTGGAAGGAACTTCCCTGTGGGGGAGCTCATATACGGGTCTCTTGCCTCTCTGAATCTCACCTTTTTCTGTAAAAGGGCTGAACAGTCACACTGAGCAAACCTGTGCAGAGTAGGTGCTCACAGCCAAGGGTGCCCTCTTTCACTCATGGTGCCTTTGCAGGGAGGGGAGGGCTGAGGTCTTTGTCTCAAAGAATTGCTGAGCCCAGGTTCACCAGCTGTCAGAGACCCTTGAGGGCTGCTGGCGTTGCACTGAAGTAGGGGGTGGGGTTTCTTCATGCCCCCAATCTCTCCTTCCTCAGTTCATGGCTGCGTAGATGGCTGAGGGAGAAGTGAGACCCTAGCTGTGCTAAGGGAAGTCCTGGGGCCTTTGGATTCAAAGCCTGGGACCCTGAACCAGTCTCCAGTGAATGTCCCTCCTTGAGCCTGACCTGGGAAGTCGAACTTCCAGGAGTTGTCTAGAGAGTGCGAATGCATCTCTAATGCATTTAATGCTTAGAGGACATGCAAGACTGACTTCCTCCCTTCCTTTCTTCCTCCCTCCATCCCAATTGGGCAAGGACTTCAGAGATATAAGGCCTTGACCAAGTGTCTAGAAGAGGCAGGTGTGGAAGCAGGGATGGGGAGGCTGGGCTGGACCAGAAGGAGCCCCATGGAGAATGTTAGGGGGTGCCTTCCTGTGATCCCCACCCTGTCTCCAGCTGAACCTACAGAGGCCAAATCCCCAGTTTGTCCCCCTCTACCCCCTTTCCCTCCCCCAAGTTCGATGGTCACTATTTTAATATCAAAGGGGCTTCTTTGCCCCCCACTTGTAATGCTGCCCACCCCAGCCCCCTCTGGCTGCCTCTTTCCCCCTCCTTGTCCTTTCCTAGTGTTCTTGAAAAGTAATCATAATCATAATAATTAATAACAACAGAGCCAGGCACTCTTAAAGACGCAGAGTCCCATTTTCTCCTGGCAGAACTGGCAGGACCTCATTGGCTCTGAGAGGTGCCTTTGATGCCTTGCCTTTGTTCCTGCATCCCTCCCCTCCTTCTGCCTAGGGTTGGAGGGTGGTGTTGGGGTGAATATTTTTGCCTACGTTTCTCCATCAGGCGCTGGGCTTTTCGTATTCTAATTGAACTGTCTTTTCTTAGAGATAGATGCTTTCACCACATCCAGCTGCTCGTGTGTATTGGGAAACCCGTCTGCAATACAGCTCGTCTAAATTAAAAGACACAGCAGCTGGACTGATTAAAGGGTGGGGGTGGGGGGTGAGTCGAGGCGACACTGGTCATAGCACTCTCTCTTTTTAAATAATGTTTCTGGGTAATGTGTTTTGGAGAATGTGAAAAAAATAAAAGCTGTAGAAATGTTA